CACTCATTCATTATTCATTCACTCATTTATTCACTCACTCACTCATTCATTCACTCATTCATTCACTCATTTATTCACTCACTCACTCATTCATTCACTCACTCACTCATTCACTCACTCACTCATTTCACTCATTCATTCACTCATTTATTCACTCACTCATTCACTCACTCACTCATTCACTCATTCATTCACTCATTTATTTCACTCACTCACTCACTCATTTCATTCACTCACTCATTCATTTCACTCATTCACTCACTCACTCATTCACTCGCTCACTCACTCACTCACTCACTCACTCACACACACACACACACCCAACACACACACACACACCACACACATACACACCCTACAAACTACACCCCCCCCCACACACACACACCCAACACACCCTACAAGCTACACCCCCCCCCACACACACACACACACCACACACATACACACCCTACAAACTACACCCCCCCCCACACACACACCCAACACACCCTACAAGCTACACCCCCCACACACACACACACTCAAACCCACGCCCGCCCTCGCTTCCCAAGGGCGGCGTGGCGAGCGGATAACCGGCGCGCAGTGTGGTCGGGCGGCGCGCGATCCCGACGTGCGTGACGCCGACTAACCAAGCTTATCACGCAGGCATTGTCGGGGTTGAGGCTCCTCGCCCTCGGACGGATAGTCGTCCTGGCCAAGGGGGGTTGGGGGTGGGGGTGAGGGCTTTTTTTGGGGGGGAGGGGGAGGGGGAGGTTTCTGGGTTGGGGTGAGGGAGGGGGAGGGGTATTTGGTGAATATGTGAAAGAAGAGTGATTTTGGGTGGTGATTTATTAATGTGTATTATTCCATGGCAAGTAGATTTTTTTTCTTTTCTTTTTCTTTTTTTACTTCTAGTGAGTGGGAAGGTTTAGTTTCTGTTGTTGTTGAGATGTATACTTGCAGGACAGAATATGGATTTGGTTTTTGATTATGTCTTCTGATTTTTTTTTTTAATTAAGTTGAAAACTTAAATGTATAAAAAAACGCGAAATAAATACTGGACATAAAAGAGCCAAAACCCAGGTATCGTATTTCAGAGACTGTCCATTATGATGTTAATGTCTTTGTTACGCAACAAAGCCTTATTCTGGAGCTAATTGCCCCCAAGTGCCACGCAGGTCAAGCTCCTGTGTGGCCGCCTGACCCCCCCCCCTCCTCCCTTCGTCACGTGAGACACGTGGCTCTTATTTGCGTTTCGTTCGGTTCTTCGGCGCCTCGCTTGGTAGGTGTGGGCGGGACGGATGACTTCACGAATTAGATGCGATTCTCGACATTTAGATGTTACTTATTTGTTTGTTTGTCTGTTTTAATTTTTCTACCTGTCACAGTGTTGTTGTTTTTTTGTATCTCAACAAGACTAGTCTCTTCAAGCCAAAATTATTAGAGATATAAATAGGATCTTGAAGAACCTAGTCGTGAGTTGCAAGACTTCTTTCATAGCTTCGACCTTCAAGGGGAAATAAAGACCCAAGGGCTCAGGGGGGGGGGGGTGCGGAGTCGATCGCCGAGCCGCGTGCACCTTGAGCGCGGCCGGAGTGGCACTCAGGAGCTCAGAAGTCCCTTTTCCCCGCGTGCCTTATGCCCAGTCACCCCGCCGTTCGCAGTCCCTTGCTGATCTACTTGTGCGTGCGATCGGAGTGCCGCGCGGTCGTTCCCTTCGCGAGGCCGTTCAGGTGACGCGCCCAATGGACACATTCGAGGGAGGGTCTTAGCCGGTAACGTTCGAGGGAGGACGTTCAGGGGAGAGCATAAGCCGGTAGCGTTCATGGGAGAACGTTCTAGAAGGAACCTCCGCCAGGAGCGTTCACGGAAGAGCGTGTGGCGGCAGGGGCCAAGGGAGGGCACCCAAGGGCGGACGTCCCTGGCGAGAGCGCCGGTCGGCCCTGGTGCCCCTGCGGCCCGAGGCCCCGGCGCGGCCGGCCCTCCCACCTGCCGAGCCCTCGACGGGCGACCGACCAAGCCCTAATTGATCGATACGTCCCCCGTCGTCTCGCCGCTGTCCGCCCACCGCGCCTCACGCCCTCCGCCGCTGCAGCCCTACGCGCAAGGGAGTCGTCATGGTTACCGTCGCGGGCGTTGCGCAACACGTGCGGCGGGCGTCGTGGGGCTGCGTGGGCGACACACATGGAAAGATGCTGCAGCAACTGTGATGATAATGATAATGATAGTGATAGTGTTGATGATAAAGATAGGAACGATAATGAAAACGATAGAGATAATAATAATAACAGTGATAATGATAATAATAATAATATTAATTATTATTATTGTTATCATTATTATTACAATTATAATGAATGACACCTATGCACCTCATCACCACGGCTGTACATACCGCGATATTTTTACACCACGGCTTGTTCCGCAGCGCATGTCTGGTGCCAAACATCCGCCTGTCATGTCCCACTGAGCGTCATTTGTAGATGTGGAGGAAATCGTGTCTTTTCTCATCCCACTTGCTTCCCCAATCTAAATGCTCATTCTGCTCGACACACATTAATGATAAAACGTGTGTCATGCACTCTAAATGGCCAGTCACTCGTCTTCAATCAGCCTTCGCTTTAAACGCCACGTCACCCTTCTTTTTTGCTATATGTACGTATAAATATTTCATCCTTCGCTCTATCAAGTCACCCTGCACCGACTCTAGAACGCTTCTTGATTCTCTATCGCTGTGTCACCCTACATTCACTCCATCTCTGAATGACCCTGCCCCCGCTCTCGGTCGCCCCGCACGCACTCTTAATCGCCTTTCACTCACTCTAAATCCAATAAGTCTTCCGGAACACCATTCTTGACGGAACTTCCCGGTCTTCATCCTCCATAAAACTTAGACGCATCTCTAACACACGTCACTCACTTCAGCAAAGTTCTCTAAACACGTTTCGACGCCAGAAACAGACATCATCGCAAAATAGAGGAGAAAGGTTGTCGTCAGCGCCATCTGTCGCGTCCCGGCGGAGTTATTGGAGTAACGCGGGACTTCAGGCAAAGATTTACCCGCGGAGGCTTTATCGTGGTCACGCTCGAGTGCATGACGGCTTTGTCTTCCTGCTCCTCGAGATATTTGGTGACGGTGTAATCTTTCTCTTACTCATTCCCCGCCATCTCCTCCTCCCCCCTTCCATTTCTCTTTCTCCGTCTCTCTCTCTCTCCTTCCTCCTCCTCCACTACCTCCATCTACGCCTCCTCCTTCTCGTCCTCTTCATCTTTCTCCTCCTCCTCCTCCTCTTCATCTTTCTCCTCCTCCTCCTCTTCATCTTTCTCCTCCTCCTCCTCTTCATCTTTCTCCTACTCCTCCTTTTCATCTTTCTCCTCCTCCTCCTCTTCCTCCTCCTTCTCCTCCCCTTCCCCAGCCTGTTCAGACTTATTATTTATATTTATGAACGTTTTCCTTTCTCCTTGTTGACGGGCGTAGCGGCCTCACCTAATCCCTCGCCCGCTGCTGTCACAGCCCCAGCCATCGCCATTATAAGCGTTCGATATCCCTTTGTGAGCGCGTGTAATAAATGGCGTGAAAGAGGGAAAGCAGGAGGAGGACCGGGATGAGTTATGCGCCGGCGGAGGTCGAGGAGGACGCGGCTGGGGTTCCTCGGCGTCGCCACCTGCACAGATGGCTCACCGACGTCCCTTGGGATGGGTGAAGGATGGCTTGGCACTTCCCCGGCCTTACGTAACGCGGGATGACGTCTTCCCTCTTTATTTACGGTCTTGAACCAAAATGACAGTTTGTTAAGTTGTCGTTGCTGCGGGCGCTCTACGGCTCTTGGGAATGTTAAGGTCTTGTGACCGTCGGTTGATCAGGGAGGAGTAGAGCGGGCAATCTTGATATTACATTTGCAAACGACATCCGGGCGGAGCAAGACGAAGAGGGGCAAACACGTGTCCTCCTCACCTCCTAAAGCTAAGGTCATGTGGAGGAAATCGTGTCTTTTCTCATCCCAGTTGCTTCCTCAGTCTAAATGCTCATTCTGATCGACACACATTTATGATGAAACGTGTGTCATGCACTCTGAATGGCCAGTCACTCGCTAAGTCGTCTGTGCTGGGATCCGTAGACACCTCGCCGAAGTCTGGCCAGCTGACCTGACCTCGGCGAGCCTGTCTAGGGATCCCAGACAGAGAAGACTAGTGTGACCTTAGTTGAACATGTCAGACGAAGAGGAAACATCACGTAGACTAGGGGGGGGGGGTAAACAAATGCCATTCTGAAGTCCTGAGAGAAGAGACCAAGCGGGATGGGTCTGCAGCGGCGAGTGCATGTGGGCCGCGGCTGGGTCGCGTTCGCGGAATGTGCGAGTGGCGTGGGGCGCGTGTGGCATTGCATGACGTTTCAGCGCTTCAGCCGGTCATTACTCTTTTGCATTGCACTTTTCAGGTGAGCTGCTCCAGGATCTGTCTTCCGTGCTGGGGGCCCCCTCGTCACACAACGCTGAAACCGGTGAGGCCTGAAATCTGCTTTTTGTTTTAATGGTCTTCCTTTTGGGCCTGCGATTTATTCTTTTTTTGTTATTTTTATTTGTTATTCTTTTGTTATTTGTTATTCTTTTGTTGTTTGTTCTTTTATTCTTTTGTTATTTGTTATTCTTTTATTCTTTTGTTATTTGTTATTCTTTTATTCTTTTGTTATTTGTTCTTTTATTCTTTTGTTATTTGTTATTCTTTTATTCTTTTGTTATTTGCTTCATGTTACTTCAGGTACGGCGATCATTTTGTAAAAGAGAGTTATTACCTATGGAAAATTCGGCGAATGTGAATACAAAAATATATGGAGAAATATAACACAGAGCAAAGCAAACAACTCTTCTACAAGAGATAGGGAAGAAAAGGAAATTTAA